AGAGAGAGAGAGAGAGAGAGAGAGAGAGAGAGAGAGAGTTAACGGTTTCTTTGTGAGTGGAGTAAGTGACCATTAATTCCAGGAGATTGTGGGAGGATGGTTATCTCTTGAAAATAGAACTCAACATTAAATTGGCAAAATTCGCTGATTAATTAGTTGGCAAAGCTCGCTGAAACTATTCACGCGAGGCTCACTTGGATGTGGGTGGACCATCACTTTCGTATCGTGGGTGACGTAGCCCACATGTATAGCTACGAGCGAAGTTCGCTGATATTAAAAGGCAGAATTCACATTACTCAACTCGTGGCCCATTTTCAACATGTTTGGATTGAGCCGAAGTGGGCTGTATGGCTATGTTCACGTGATTGTTTGAGCGAACTTCGCTATAGCCTATTGTGGGCTTGACTTTGGGCCCATTTGAAGTGTTTAACCCATAGGCGTTCACTTCTTGAATCTAAACTGAACATTAACCTGGATAAAATATATTTTAACTGTCTACAGGGAAAGGTAAAATCATGTCAGTGGCGTCTTGTCATCTGTACGACGCTTATAATTGGCTCATACTTATCTCCATAGTTATTGCCAGTGTACACTGAATTGTATCTCACCGAGTGATGTAGAGTCAGGCACATGTCAGTCGTATGGTCCGGATCATGTGACCAACAGAGCTAATATGAATATAGACATAGTTTGATCAACCAAGCCGACCCCATCAACAGTCGGAGTCTGGGTCAAAAGACGTCTAAAAGTTAGAATCCACGAGAGGAAGCTCGCGTCTGAGTCGAAAGGTGTCTTAGAGAATATTAGTCCGAGGGCAAGGAGAGGGAATGTGTGACCGTTATTTAGCTCTTTGGCTTCTCCTTTTCCTTTTGGTCTGTGTAATATGGCCGAATGTCTCTTGGGAGTTCATCTTCGTCAAACGGTCCGTAGTTTTTGGCCGCCTACTGCCCCCTTCAAAGTTTCTAGCATCTCAAAATCTAGATCTCAGGAGACTTGGAAACCGACCATCCGTCACTATTATCCCTACAATAACTTATACTAAAAGTTGCAAATAAATGAGGTAGAAAAGATCATTACTTGATTGACCTCCCTTAATCAAATTTATTGGGTCCTTCTTCAATGACAGTAAATACAATATTAGATTAGAAACTGTTCATAAAACAATAGACAGGCGGAGAGAATAGTAGAAACGTATTTTATTAACTCCTTAACCCGTGTCATTAATCCCCTGATGCATCTCGCCCTTGCAAATAGGAGGCGTCAAGCAGCCTGACCGAGAAGCGACGGTAACCAGCCCAGCTATCCTCCAATACAAACCCTAACTCTACCTCCCTCCCCTCAAACCCTAGCCCTAGTTCCTCATGGAGATCGAAGAGCATGAGCCCCTTCCCTCTCCTAGCAAGGAGCTCCAATCGCCGTCGTCGGATGCAGTGACGGGGGAGGGAGAGTCGAAGCGGCCGAAGCACCATCACCATCTCCACGAGGGCGACGAGGATGGGGAGAATATTCTTGGAGTTCCCGCGGACAATCGAATGGTTGAGGATGGGGGATTGGAGGAAGGAGAGATTGTTGAAGAAGGCGTGATCATTGAGGAATCAGTAATTTTCTCCATCTTTATGCTCATTTTTCATTTTTCATTTTTATATAATTTTTATGCTCAATTTGGACAAATTTTTAAAACAGTCCCCTTTTAACATTTATTTCCAAAAAACGATCTCTTTTGTACTTATTTTCAAAAACCGACCTTGTTTCAGCCCTGACGTCGAAATAAGGTCGGTTTTGAAATTTTTATTTCGAAACTTTACGGGAGTTGAACCCCCGTGAAGTTTAGCAGATTTTTAACAATCTGCTAAAACTTCGCGGGGACTTCGGCGACAGCGCTGGGGACCGACGGCGACAGAGTTGGTGACAGTGGGGAACAGTGGAAGAGGGTCTAGGGTTTGGTTTGGGAACGGGTGAGAGAGGGCTGCGGGTTGGGTTCACGGGACTGCCTTATATAGGCATCTAAAACTCCACGGGAGTTCAACCCCCGTGGAGTTTTTTCACTGTAACAAACTTCACGGGAGTTGAACTCCCGTGAAGTTTGCTCAACAAATACAACTTTAAGGGAGTTCAACTCCCATGAAGTTTTAATTTTTTTTCTTTTCAAAAACCGACCTGAATTCAGCGTCAGGGCTGAAACCAGGTCGGTTTTTAAAAATAAGTGCAAAAGAGAACATATTTTGGAAATAAATGTTGAAAGGGGACTGTTTTGATAATTTATCCTGCTCAATTTCTTACTCGGTGGAGTTAAGACGATTTTCTTTAAACTTGTATCTTTGCTGTTATGGTTCTGAAACTTGCCTTTTTCTGTTAGGAACTCATCCATCAGTTTTCTGTAATCTTGCTTCTCTTTACGTGTTGCTATAAATTTAGGTGACTTGAAGTATGATTTACATTTCTCTATACCATCGTTGATATCTGGGATTCAGTAAATTGGTGGAAGGAGAAAAATTAGTTGGATGATTTTATTAACATAACTCATCTCTAATTTCTTTGTCTTATAAGTGTACACTAAAGATAGGATAAGAAATGAGTGTATTTGTAGAAGACTAGAGATGCTTCTATCGAGGATAAAGTGAGAGAGAATCAATTGAGATGAACAGAGCCAGTAGATGTACTAGTAAGATATGAATGTAAGAGTAAGATTCATGTAGCAAGCTCCCAAAATCATCCATCAGTTTTCTGTAATCTTGCTTCTCTTTACGTGTTGCTACAAATTTAGGTGACTTGAAGTATGATTTACATTTCTCTATACCATCGCTGATATCTGAGATTCAGTAAATTAGTGGAAGGAGAAAAATTAATTGGGTGATTTTATTAACATAACTCATCTCTAATTTCTTTGTCTTATAGGTGTACACTGAAAGATAGGATAAGAAATAAGTGCATTTGTAGAAGACTAGAGATGCTCCTATCAAGGATAAAGTGAGAGAGAATCAATTGAGATGAACAGAGCCAGTAGATGTACTAGTAAGATATGAATGTAAGAGTAAGATTCATGTAGCAAGCCCCCAAAATTTTTTTTTTGGGGTTTTTTTTTTTTTTTTTTTTTTTTGACTTTGTGTTGATTGTATATTTGTTATTCTAGCTTTATACATATTTCATATTTATAACTATTTTTCAAATGGTCACCATCTTGATCTTTGTAATTCACGCTTTTCTTAATTTCAATCGTTGTGCTGTTATGGTTGAGCAAAGGTATAAACAACTGGAGCACTGAATTTTGAGTTTTCTTTGTGGTAATCAAGCTCTTTCGTTTTTATCTTTTGTTTCTTCCAGGTAACTTGTTCTCTTTTTAAATGAAGTTATACTTTAAGCATATAATATAAGTGAGTATTTGATGGTGTAGCATTTGATCAAGTTCTTTTTGTTACAGGTACTCTCTGGAGAGGATAGATCTTACTCAGATAAGGAACTGAAAGCAATTGACTCTTACTCAAATGCATTGTACAGTCAAAATAGATGGGAAAATGCTGATGACTTAATGAATCATGCATCCTTAGTTAAACATTGTGGGATTGCAAGTAGAAAAACTGAAGCTATTCCAAGATATGACCCTATTGATAAGGATGATGATGCTGGTGATGATTACTTAAAAAGTAAAATAAGGTCACTTGATTCTGACTACGATACAAGTAATAGGGTGAATATGCAGGTGCGACATGCAGTCAGAAACCAACCAAATGATGTATATATGGAGATGGACAGGGGCCCCATGGAAATGGAGAGGCGTATTTTTCATAACAAACATGATGGTCTAGAAGAGAGGTATAGTGATTATGATAGACGAAAAGGGAGGGATAGATATGATAGATGGGAACCCAGATGCATTGATCGTGGCAGAGAATGGGACAGGAGTAAAGAACGCCGAGGGAGAAGATATAGTATCTTTAGTATGCATGTTCGTGACAGAGAAAGAAGAGAAAGAGACAAAGGTAGTGTGGGACATAGGTATATGTGGACACCAAGAGATGTAAGCAGGGAGACGTATAGAGAAAGGGACAGATTAAGGGACGTGAAAAGCAGAAGGGAAAGTGACAGATATGGTTATGATAGAGATAAGCGTCAAATCAGGCACAGAGAGCTGAAGTTAGATAGGGACAGAGATCATAATGGGCAAAAGTATGCGGAAAAGGGTCTGCATAGAGATAGAACAAGATCAAAGAATCCTGCTAGACAATATTTTCATGAAGAAGAGGAGTCATTAAGGTGAGTTTCGACCGTGTTGTATGAGAATAATTTATGTTCATATATTTTATCTTCTTTTTGTTGATATCTTTTGGATTTTGATAGGGAGGAGGATGAAGCAGACTATCAAGAGAGAATTGAAGAGCAACTTGCGAAACTGGAGGATGATCTTGACAAAATTGAGGAAACCAGAAAAAGGAGACAAGCTATCTCGGGAAAATATAAACAACAGCAGCTGCAAGAACATGTTGAATCTCCATCACGTAAGCACCTGGAATTTAATTCATGTTCCAACTGTCGTATCCATCTCTTGTTGAAGCGGATTTTGCATGTTTGTCCGTTTTTATGTACTCTTTCCGACATATTCTTAAGTTTCCTGTTCTTATTCCAATTGTTTACTGTATTCATCTTTAAACAGAAAAGAATAAGGAAATGCTTAAAGATAAGTTATGGGAGCTAGATGCTGAGAGTTCTGGTGGCCAAGCTCCTGTTGGAGACACTGATGCGAATCAGGATTCCTCTGATGGTGATGATTATGCTGCTGATCCATCATTTGATGTGGGGAAATCTCCTTTACTTAATGGTACCTCAGGCCTTGAGAAGAGAGGTGATTCTGTGGGGCTTGGTGAGGGCATTCCCAAGGTTTGTTACTAATCACCAGAACAAGGCTTTTTTCTTATAGGGTTTTGGTTGCAGTTTGATGTTTTAATGCTAAGCTAATGCTATCTATACTATATTTTTAAAATCCAAGTGAGGGTGGCACAAGTATGAAGAACATTTGAAATTTTCGTTCAACCCTTCAAAGATGAAAGGGGCAATGTCGTAATTTCACATTACAATCATTGAAGTGGGGCCTAGTCTTTCGCTCTTAAATTTCTTATTCCCTTCTTCCTTCCCTCACGCCTTTCAATGTTCCACTGCTCTTTCTCTCCCCCGTCCCTCCCTCCCTCTGTCGCTCTCACTCTCACAAAAGCACGCGCGTGTCTCCCTCTTCCTTTCTCTTCCATTCTCTCTCTCTCTCTCAATTAAGATTTCATGCACAATTTTTTTTCTCTTAAATCAAGAAATTCATACGTAATTCTTTTAAAAATAATTAGAGAAAATCTCCCTTAATTTGAAAATTCATGCATCAATAATGATTAGAAATAATAGAAATAAGAAAATTTAGAAAATAAAACTTTAAGTTTAGAAATGTGTTAAGTTTATCCTGTTTTGTATTCATATGGATTCATATCATACCCAACAAATGATTAATTATTTTCTACTTATTGTCTAAGAAGTTATTACATAGAAGAAGACCTAATACAGATTTAACTTATCATCTATTTAAAAAAGGAGAGTGTGATGCAAATGGCAAAAGAATCAGAATCTCAACTCATTTTTAAATACAAAAAAAAATGTAGTTTTTCAAAAAATAGTTTAAATAGAAAATAGTTTCTCAAAAAAATAGTTTTTCTAACCATAAATTTTTTAAACGCATGTGCATTTGAACGTGTGACAATGCTAGTGTTATTTATGAATAAGAGAATGTTAATAACTTGTTTCGAATATGGTCTAATTTCCCACAAAGTGAAAGTTCAGCCGATTTTTTTTGTGATGATATCTTAGGAGGATCACCTGTTGATATCCGAAAGACGGTAAGCTTTGTAATTGTACATTTTTGCTATTGTTCTGGACTTTCTGTTTCAGTATCTCTCTGTCCTTCAACTTCAGTTTTACAATGCTTGCATTTTGCCATTACTGTAACATTAATGGTTGTTCGAGGTTGCAGAATATAAAATTGTTACATTCAACCATTATTTTAAATACTGAATATCGGATATCGAATAAAATATTGGACTGCTAAAATCCATATAAGATTGCGGAAATAGGGGATTTATTGGGATATGTAGTAAATATTGTGGAGTTATGTCAGATGATGTTCATACAGAATATAACATTCTAATACGTAATCTGAACATATTTGATGATTTTGAAACATAAGAAACTGCATCGTGATATATGTGGATGAATAATTGTTTGTATCGATCGTATCATGAAACTTTGCGAAGTGCTTAACCTTCAAAGAGACACACAGAGAGAGAGAGATTATACAGAGCTAGAGAGGGAGGGAGGGAGCACTGAATGGTAAGAGTTAGGGATTTTGTAAGGTCGATTACGAGTTCTGAAGCAAAAAGAGTGTTTTATTTGGTATTTGGGTCAGATCCAGAATCCAAAACCAAACTCAAATCCTAAAAAAGTTCAACATTGACTGATAGTTTCACGGTGAAATATTGGTCAATATTGCAGATATTGGCCGATATTGTGGGTATCAGCCTATATATGTATATAGGAAAAAGATTCTAAAAATCAAAAAATGTTGTAGACTTGTAAATATGGGTGCATGCTGCTGTAGAACATGATATATTGACTGTTATATTGAAATATCGATTAATATTTTGTACACTGCCCTCAACCCTCACCATAACTCTGGAGTTATGGTGTAGCGACAGGGACTTTAATATGGTTTCAAGCAATCTAGATTCAATTCCTACTAACCTCTAATTTAAAGCTGATTCAAAAAAAAGTTGATGCCCTTATCTGAGTCCAGATTTTGTCCCAGAGAAAGGGCACTCATCCTGCAAGGGTATGTCATAATATAAAATAACTCTCAACCATCACCATAACTTTGGAGTTTTGCTTGTGACAGGGACTTTAATAGCAATAAATCCTAGAAATTACACCTTTTGCATTTTAAGATCAGAAAACTTAATATTTCCTTTTAGATCTTGTAATTTGTAAAAAGTTAAAAATTTCGAGATTGAGTTGATTTAATTCTAAAGAGAGACATAATATTTCATTGCTTTTGACTGTTTTGCCCATGTCAGTATCTCCCTGATGCCCGCCCAGTCTTACCAAGTCACACTTGTTTAGTACACAGCACAGACCTAAACCCATCTGACGTCCTTGCATTTTCTGTTATTAGCATTTAACTTGGTAACTCTCAAGATATACACTTCAATCACATGTTTTCCCCCTTCTGCATGCTATTTCTAGAGCTACAATTACCAAATATTGAACTGTTCACTCCCATTTAGCACACAAGGCAAACCCAAACCCGTCTGATATCCGTGCATTGTTTTTTATTAGCATTTAAATTGGTTACTCCAGAGATATACACTTCAATCACAATTTCCCCCCTTCTGAACACTAATCTTAGATCTCCAATTACCAAATATTCCTATGTACAGTTATGCATATAATTTGAGAACTGATTGCAAGGAATGAAGCTGGGTAATTTACCAATATGTAAGGATTAAGTTAGTTTTCGGTAGGCCTGTACCAGCATATTTCTTTGTGCACATCTATCTGAAATCTGTCATTTCTCTTTGCACCCAATCTTTGGCATTCAGGTTGAAGATTTTTCTTACTCTGAAGGAAACCTGCAGGTTTACATAATAATAATTTATTTTAATAATTTATTAAAATATATATTGCTATTGTAAAGACCATATGGAATGCTAGCATCAGCAAATGCCCCACTGCTAGCATATTCCTAACTTTCTATCAGCTTGCATTGCGGGCAAAGAGGCTTATTTACGTTGGATTGTATGCAGATGAATTGCGATGCTGGTATCTGGGATATAAGCTTGTGGTAGTTTAATATGTAAATGAGTCAGGCAGCAAATAAATCCTCAAAAGATTGGCTCGTGAACTTTCTTCGCATAGGCGTTTCTGTTCAATTCTTATACACTTCTCAATGAACATATAGTAGCGGCATCAGAATCTTTTAGGAAAACTGCAGTTGTAAATCATAATCACTTATCATAATTTTTGATATATTTTATCTATACTGTTCTTTAAGATGATGTATGAAATGCTAACTATAAGTGGATACTCTATTGGGAGTAAATTTCTAACTTGTTATTCTCTCCCTTTGTTTGAAAAAAGGCCTATTACTTGTGGTGCTGGGATCTGGGAAGTAAGCTGGTTTTTTATACACAACTGCCTTGATAGCAAATGAATCTTTGAGAGACTTGCTTTCTTCACTTCGTAGTTTTTCAACTCTTGTACACTTCTTAATGATGGATAGAGATAGATAATCCATTCTAGAAATTAGAATCTATTAGGGTTGCATTCAGAACCCTGGAAGGGGATATGGCTAAGCAGAAAGATGAGTTTTCCATGTTGTAAAAAATGAAAAAAATATTAGCCCGATGCAAGATATCTGAATAAGTTATAAGTCATAACTTATCAAATCTGATAGTGAGTGTAGATTATTAATCTTTCTCCGAAATAAGATCTGTTGAGCTCATAATTCTTAAGTCCTAATTCTCAGCTAAACATTTCTAAACTGAACTGATTCCCATTGTTCCTACAATAAACCCTTGAAGGGGATATGGCTAAGCGGAGAAATGTTTCTTCCATGTTAACAAAAATAAAAAAAATGTTATCATTATCACAATTCAAGAATTATAAATAAGTTATAACTCATTAATTTGGTAGTGATCGTAGATTATTTACCTTTCTCATCTGTTGAGCTCATAATTCTGTACTACTATTTCTTAACTAAATATTTCCAGTGAACTAGTTCCTGTTGTTCCTTCATTTGATAACAAGAGCCATCCTTTTGATAAAGGATCACTTGAGTCCAATTAGAACATAATCTATCCATTATTAAAATCACTACTACGGCTGTATAGCTTTCAAAGGGTCCAATACAGAGGTATTGCTTAACCATGCTTCTGAAACCCTGATACTATTGAAGCTAATACCTTAGAAGGACTGGTATGGATTTTGAAGCAAAACTTAGACTTGCACCAATGAAATCCGAAGACTCCAGATTGCTGCAAATAAGACTACTCTGATTGCTGCAAGTAATACTTGCTTTGGTAAAGCTAGGTCAACAAGCTTGCTGTATTTTCTGAAGTTGGGGTTTAACAGTGTAAACTAACCAACTGCTAACGAATTAAATAAACTCTCTTGTATACGATGTACCAAGCTATCATCAGAACCTTTGCTAAATTATCCCCAAGTGTGTGTAAAAAAAGCTTGATTTATGTTCTATATATCCTATGATATGAAGTCCCAAAATGTTTAGCTAATTCAAATAGTCATACTGTTCTGCTCGTGAACAATTTGTCTTTCAAGACATGGATCATTATCATATCTTTTGCCTGTTTAGTTTAAAATTAATAACTTTCAAATAAATAAATTTTCTGATATAAATAGTTGTTTGCTTTGTGTAATGTCTCAAATGCTAGCAGGATCATTTTGCAAGTGTACAAGGCATCCCTGGCACTGCCGTTCCTCTGTTTAATTCTGCAGAATCATCAGATAGACTTGTGTTTTATTACCATTGATGTTGAATGTAATGTTCCGTAAAGGAGAAACTCCTATGCCTTTCATCACATAAGCTGATATTACAGAAGACTCATTCAACTAGGGTTGAATTTGAACACTGTTTGTACCGCTTTCCTGGAACTTCAAATCTCAAATCTCTTGAACCATTAAACAATTGCTGTAGTGGAGACCCTTTTTATTTAAGTTTTTCTGTACACGTGTAAAAATTGCCTCGTAATAGGAGCAACACCTACTTTTTGTTACTTTTTCTCCTGGAGCAACACCTACTTGTTCCATAAACTCAGCTAATAGTATGACAAACTCTTTCTCTGGCGGTTAAAAGGCTATCTTGGATTGGTTTGAAGTTACTTGAACCATGCAGAACTCCTACTCTATACTAGTAAGTAATCCTTGTACAAAATTGAGAAATTGTCACTTTATTGAACAAAAACTCCATGCGACATGCATAAATATGTGAATCGTTTTCATCAATTACTATCTGTTACCTAGTATATTCAGGTAGGGTCATCTGCAGTGTTCTTTGCAGGGATGCTGGAAGCTGTCACTGACTGATGTTAACCTGTTAAGAACCGTTTATGTAACTTGCAATTGTTGATTCATGAGGCCAGCCAAGATGTTAATGTTATCAACTAAATTGCATTACAAGTGTCAAATAGAAGTACTGACTTTCCTCCATCTAAATATTTGGTGCATAAAATTCCTGGTGCTTTTTTATTTTGTTTACTTGCAATGTTGTATATGATGCTGTGGAAGTCACATTGGTGAATACTTCAGTCACTTGTATCAGCCAATATGTCCAAATCTTTCATCGTGTGGTTCTCATTACACATATTTTATGCAGGACAAAGGGATGATTTACAAATTGAGAGAAGTGGTCTTTATGACAACTTGGATGACGCAGAGGGTTACTGCAGTAAGATGAGACTGGAAAGGGTGAGCCAAAAGAGGTTGCCATAAAAATCATTCGCAGCAGTGAGACTATGTGAGTAAAGCATTGACTAAATGCGTTCTTAATCAGTAGTTTTTTTATTTATGTTTTTCTTGTTTCTTCTTTGGTTTTGGACACATTATGGTAAAGGTATAAGGCAGGCAAAGTTGAGCTAAAAACATTGAAGAAGCTGGCTGCTGCAGATCCTAAGGATAGGTGGCAATTGTATTAGGTTTCTTCAGTGTTATCAATGGGCAATGTGCAATGAGGGGTGTAAAGTCCCTTTACGCGCACATGTGCAAAGTGCGATGCGATGCGCGCACCCGAGTAAAGCTTGGTTTACATTGCGCATAATTTTTCAAGATACATAATCAAACATGGAAAAACGTGTTTATGAATTTTCACATAAAAATATGTTATGATAAATATATCTAGTACCAATTTGCAAAATAAGATATTAATTCATAATGCTATCACATTTAACATAGTAGTAAAGTTCATAATTTTCAAAATCAAATGTCAAATCAAGACTAATATCGAATAAAAATCAAATTATAAAATGAGGATGAGTTAAGATCCTCAATCTGGCTACTAGAATGTCCTAATGGGTTTCTTTTTTTTTCGAAATGAGTTATTTGGTATAAAGTACCGATTGAAATGTTAAAGAACTAAAATATATGAGGCTCTGTCTTACGTGTGCCCTATGCGAAAGATCCCTCTCACATGACACTTTGAGGCGCAAATAGGCGCTACTACCTCAGATGCAGGTCGTTTTTGTCACTGCCCCGCATCACAGGGTGCATGAGGCGCAATGAGGGCGTGCCTTTGAAAACACTGGGCTTCTTTCATGTTTTAAGTACCGTAATAATCTTTGTTTAGTTTTTGAATCTCTTAATATGAATCTTCATGAGGTTCTATAGAAATTTGGTTGTAATATTGGGCTTAAACTGATTTGTGTGAGGACATATGCAAATCAGCTATTCATTGCGTTGAAACATCTGAGAAACTGTGACTACTGCACTGTGACATAAAGCCAAGTAATATGTTGGTATGTGTTTTCTTCCTTTTGGCAACTTTTTAGTAATATCTTTTGATCAATGTATAAGGTGCCAGCTTTCTATATACTTTTTGAGTGCTTTACTTGTATGAGCCTCCCTTAAATTTAACAGTCATTCATGGACTAATAAATAACAACAAATATTTACTGATTGAAAGAGATGTTTATTTGTGCATGTTTCACTTTGCAATAATATATATACTTAAGGGTTTTGCTTATGTATCCCTCAAATTTGTCATATGTGCATTTGTACCTCTCAAATCTCGCTGTTTGAAGATTCACCCTTGTATTCTTTGATATTGGATAAACATAGCCCTCCAATCTCACACAATTCGTGTTGTAATAGAGAAATGGTAAATTGACAATATATCTCCTCTCTCTTCATTCTCTCTTGCCTCTCCTTAGACCCTAACCACTTCACCCTTTGCTAACTACCCCTCGCACCCTCCCTCACTAGAGAAACCCCCTACAGTGTCCCTCCTTGTGCCACTGCCAGCTACATGGTTCAAATCCACTGTGTGTTGGAAATCTTGAAACATAGGCTAAATTAATCCAAAGAAAAAAAAAAAAAACACTAGTTCACAAGAAAACTAAACAAAAGCATGCACAAAACCCAAACTTGGTTAATATGTGCAAGCCATTGGTCAAATAAACAACAAATAGAGTTATAAGAATCTAAACTTTTTGTAGTAAGCTAAACTATCTTCTTAAGATAGTGATAGAAGCAAGGAGTCATTGGAATTATCAAGCGCCTAATGTTAACAAAATCTCATGGGACAGGGACTCTTGACATTCATTTACTCAGATAACGAGTGCTTTATGTTCAAGTTATTGCAACGTTTTTTGTACTAGTCTAGGGTTGGGTACTCTGTTGCTACAAATGCCGAACCCCTGTCGCCGCTACAAATACTCAACCCTGGAAACCTTTGCAGCTCATCTATCTTTACTATTTTTTCTCAAAATCTTTCTTTCTCTCTCCATTCTCGCTCTAACTAATTGTTAATTAATCATGAACTTTATTAGGAGTCAATTAATATTAATTTAAAACATTCAATAATTAAGTTGGTGGAATATACGGGCGTATATTCCACCCGAGTGTTATTTTAACTTAATCTCTAAGATTTGAAGATAAATTTGCAAAATAGTCAGTTTCAGGGTGTAAAATTGCAAACATGTTATATGGGGGGCATATCTGTAATATTAACTGTTATCATTAGTATTAGTAAGGTATGTATGTTTATTTTTTCTGCTAATTGTAAATCCTTAGGTTCCAAATGTTATCAATGATCTAGCTTGGAATTCATTCCTTATATTGTCTCATTAACTTTTAATATATTATTAGTAAACAACACGTACTATAGTTAAGGGCGCTATACCAGAATTAGGGAGCATATCTGCATGTGCATATTTTTAAGAATATGCATAATGACCAATCTAACCATGATAATTACCATACCGTTTGAGCAGTTCTCTATAGGTGAGTTATGATCCTCTAGTTCTATATGATGCTTGTTTTTTTGAGTGCTTCAAACATTTACCTTCCTAATCAGAACTTTTCTCCTCCTCAAATATTCACATACCCCATCTTTTCATGTTAAAACATCTTTAATCTTTGTTGCCCATGTTATTTTTTTCATTCCTTGTCATATATTCTCAGTAATTGGCTTCATTGGTTCTTACTTTCCAAATACTGATATATTCTCTTAATTCCTCCATCCTGATCTCTTAAGTTCTTTTGCATGCCTGATTTCAGACCCTGCTTTGTAGATTATTCTTGTTTCTTTACCTTTTTCATCCTCAGAAATTCATGTCTTATGATCTTTTGTACAATTTTCTTTTTGAGAATGGGCTGATCTAGATTATTTATTCTTAATCTTAAGGTTTTTTTTTTCCATGAAAACCACCTTTTAAACTAGGGTGATTAGACGAAACCACCTTCAAAATTCAATTTATATAGAAACCACTTTTAAGTGGTGTTGTGGTTGCAAACTACCACCAACCATTTTGACATAGTTTCTAATGAAATATCTATTGAAATTCTCGAAATGCTCTTAAAAACACACGTGCTAGGAACTAGGCTTGGTTAAGAAGACATGTTACATGTGTGTTTTTAAGGGTATTTGGGAATTCCGGTTGAAATCTCATAAAAAGTAGGTCAAAGTGCTTGATTGCAGTCAGAACCCTCTTTGAAGGTAGTTTTTCAATTAAGTGAACTTTGAAGCTAGTTTTCATATTATTGTCCATTTCTAAAATGGTTTATGTGAAAAACTCTAATCATAAAGTTCTTGGAACATTTCCAGATGCTACACCCTTGCACATTTTCCTTCTCGTCTATAGCTTTACCCATAAAGCATTTACATAATCTATCTTCCTTATAAAAGTGTCCCCGAGTCCTTAGAACTATGCCATTTGTTAATTATTTGCTATCTTCCCGCAATTGGCCTCAATTGTTTTATGTTTTCATTTATTTGCATATAATTTATAAATTTCTTTGACCTGAATTTAATTTTCCTTTGCATGTCTGGTTTCATTGTGTATTCTTCTTGTTTATTAATCCTCCTTAAACCCATGTATGATATCCGGCATGCATTTCTTTTCCTATCAATGGAACTGATGCACATTAGGTACCCGTAATTCTAGCCTGCAGTTAACAAATACGAGACACTAAAACGTAATATGTACATGACAGGAAGATGCAATTTTAAAAGACAAATTCTTGCATATTTACTCCCCAAATATTCCGTATTTGCAAAATTACCTCGCAAGTCTTGATGTTTGTAAAATTACCCCCACATTCCTCAACACTATAAATTTCTACCCCCACTCAACTTACAAATACTTTAATGGGGTATTTATTCTTTTAACGTTTATTCGACTAGTCCAATTCCTTTGTTATGTTGGGGGCACCCTACTAACTCGCATTTAGAGTCACCTCAGAGACTCCTCTCTCATTCCCTCACTAGATCCAAATCCTTTGAAGCTCCCCCTAATTCAACCGGGAGAGGAAATATTTGAATCTTTAACAAGGAAGTTGGAGGTAATCATACTCAAATTACACAATTACCTTGACATTTCTACTCTGTACTATCGCCAACAGCTCTTATGAGCATGCAACAATAGTGACACAATAACCTAACACAACTTCTTAGTAATAATCATACTCAAATTACACAACTCCTTTAATATAAATACATCATAACAAATGAAAAAAAAAACACACAAAAACATGCAATATCTTTAAAAAACCTTAAGTCTCATCACCTGCTCTCTCTATTCTACACATTTTACCCATTACAGCATCAAGCGTCTTTTCAACATTTTCAAGCTTACTAACTACAGTTTCATAAAAAAAAATACATGAGATTAGATGTGCTCATCTTCAACATATCCCCAATCACAACAGATCTTCCCATCTTTGGCCATCTATTTGCCCATCTTTGGCATGTAGCTCTGCTGGACTCGATTAACTTGTTGCTGAAAATGATAACTTGTGGGTTTAATCCTATAAATAGAGAATAGGAACTGAGGACTGATATAGAATTTTTTTCCCCAGCTGTAGAAGAGAATTTGGAAAGATGAGGGGGAAGGCATGGCTTAGATGGATTTTAATAGAGGGAAGCTGATGTTCGGATTTTTTTAATTTAAGATTGTAATTAGAAAATAATCAACTAAAAGATAATTTAGTCAATTTTGAAAATTCCAACAAAAACTAAGGAGAATATACTAAGTATATTCCCAAACAGAATATGTAGGATAGAATTTTACAATGTTGATTTGCAGTTGAATTACAAATACAAAGATTTTTTTTGTAGTGGGGATAAATTTTTGTAGACATAAGATTTTAGGGGTAAATAGAAAAAAACTCCTTTAAATTTTTTTTGTAAATGGGTATATGCATATTTAAATGTGTATTTGTGTGTATAAATTATGTACTTTAAAAAATAAAAGTAAAGTTATAATGAATTATTCAAGTGAATTTAAAGATTTTTATGCAATGTAAATCTAAGTTTCATATTAAAAGGATATTTTAGTGTGCAACTCAAAAAAA